AACAACAACAACAACAACAACAACAACAACAACAACAACAACAACAACAACAACAACAACAACAACAACAATAACAATAACAATAATAATAAAACGCAACATCAACAACAATTATCCTCCTCCTCTTCATTTTCCGTATCATCGTCCTCTTCCTCATCATCTTCATTAACATCAATACCACCATCAACTAATGACGATTCACAAGAAAGCAATGACAATAGAACATTTATAATTAATGCAGTATGTCGTGATGCTAAAATAAATCTTAAAGATTTTGAATTAGAATTTGCAGCAGATATTTCTAGAACAATAGGTTATTTATTATGGCAAAAATTGTCCTAATTATTGTAATTTATAAATAATATTGTAATTCAGGAATGACATAAATGATTATATTATTATTCGATGACCTTGTTATTGATGTTGAATATTAATATTAATTATTTAAATCATAAATAATAAATCATAAATAATTCAATTAATATATTTATAAGAAGGTCCAATTTATAGCCGACTGCGAAAAAAATTTCCCGTCACAATCGTGTGCAACGGTGGGTCAATTGAAGTCCCTCTTACCAATATATTTCGGGCAGAATCAACATCACAGTTCCAAGCATACTAATATTTTATGTAATCATTCAAAATTCGCTAACCTTCAATCTGCAATATGCTATTTGATGTTTGCTGACCACAAACGGCAAATTGCAAAGGCTTGTGTCAACGAACTTTTTTAAACTGAATTTTTGGGTAAGATACGAAACATTATTATGTTTAAATTATTAATTGATTAAAAAAATTTGTTTTTTCTTTACATAATTCATAGAATAAACAAAATAACATAAATAATGATAATTCTTTTTTTAAGATACATTAAAAAAATTTTGTTTGTTTTAAACCCCCCACAATTCATCTCGGAAATCCCCACTAGTGTAACAATAATAACAATGTCCTTGAATTTATGGACATCAAGGAGACCCCATTTTTTTAAAGATTTTTTTACTATGCTAAATGAGGAGAAAAAAAAATTGTTAGTGGGTTAATATCGATACTTTATAAACTAGCCTAAGATTTAAAAAAATCCTCTTGTTTTCCATTTGCAAAGAATTGTCTAATGATAACCGAAAGAAATCCAGTTTTCGAAAATTATCGAATAATAATAAATGGCTTGGCTAAGCACGAAAAATATGAAAAAAAAAAAAAAAAGAGTTGGTCGATTCTTTTAAGATTTATTGTCTTTTTTTTTTTAATTAACAAAGACAAGAATAAAGATTGAACTTTTGGTTGCGAAAAATAAATAAATAAGTCTTCCATATTAACGAAAAACAACAAAAAAATTCATATAAAAAAATACCGTTTTTAATTAATTCGATTGTTTGTGCGACAGGTTCCTCCTATAAATGAACATTTTGTCATGAATGCTTTCGGAGTTTCAAAATTTTCAACCGGAGAGGAATTGATTGTGCACATCGTTGCCTTTTATCCAAACAATTCTAACGTAACAACAACCTTACAAAGGATCTAAATCAACAATTTGTTCACGTTACGGGAAACCTCATTCTCGTCGACGACACCGTTCAACCATGAAACTTTTAAGAGTGCGTATAATCTTTTTTTATCAGCACTAATGCATTTCTTTTTCTAATGATACCTCTCTCCAAATATCTGCAACAAATTTGAGGGTCCCGAAACTCGAAAATGAGGAAACAGAACCTCAGGCATTGTTGTGACCATGATTGCGATTGCAATTGGATTCCAATGGAAGGGATGAATCCAACATCACCATGAAAATTGGCTATGAATATTTTAATTCATCGGAAACTCCCATGGAATTCGAAATTACCATTCCATCACTAATAGTTTCTTGCTTCAAGCATCGTAACTCCGATAATAAATTTAAAAGAAAATAGTTCTTAATTACTGATTCGCATATGAAAATACAATTTTTTAAGGAAGTCTGGGCAATATAAAAAGGCAATGATTTCAATTTACTCATAAACTCTACTCTCACAAATAAAACTATACCTTCGCAAGAAACCATTAATTTTGAGTATGCTTTACATGGTCAATGCTATTCCATATAAACCCCTTAAAAGAACTTGTAACATGTCTTTTGCCTAAAATACCAACACCGTCTACACTCAATAGCACTCTTACCCGATCCTGTCGTTGCTGAACAACTGATTCTTTGCTGTTTCTGGAACAATAACACTAAACCATGATATCACCACAGGTGACTTCTTATATTTGCTGATCCTATAGCCGAGACTATCGTATGTGGTTGAAGTGATTATCCAATTAAAGCTGGAACCCCGTTTGCTAAAGTTTAAGCACCAGCGAAGTTACCTAATACATACGCTATTGAAGTTGTTGTTGGGATCCAGTTTTATAGGCTGTGGAGTAGTGTGGTTGTTGGTGATGCTGCACCTAAGGATTCATCTTCGCTACTATAATTTTTTGGTGATATAAAATTATACAAACATTATTTATATTTAAAATCAATCTCAATTTTTATTACAACACAAGCAAAACAAAAATAAATAAACAATTATTTTATGTTCTAACAAAGACTCCTAATAAGTATTCACGAAAGAAGGAATAGAATGACGTCTGATAAAAGAATAATAATAATCATGATACAAATACAAGTAATTTAAAGGCCTACAATCCAGTGCTGTCAAATTTTACAGCGGAATTTAGAATTCAGGACACGTGTTCCGGTTAATAAAAATATTTGGTTGCATTTTGAAAAGTGACTAGGTTTCAACGAAACCGTGCTAAATGTAATATTAAAAATGTAAAGATGCACCTACACGCATTTTGCAATCATTTTTGGAAATGCAAAAGTCTTTGGCTTTTTGCGCATAACTGGCTTTACGATCATAATAACTGATATCAATCGATATTTTAAAATATAATAATATAATATGGGGCATACTGCAACAAAACCAGACAAAGTGAATACCAATGTTCACTTTGGTTTTGTTGCAGTATGCCCCATATAAACAGTTGTGTGTATCACATTATATTTGTTACCATTGTAATCGTGTGATGTTTAATAATTTTGATCCCTGTAATTCACTTATCTGGCATGATTAGCTGATTCTATATAAAAAAAATTTTTTTTTTAAATTATCAACGTTTCATTTAAAAAAATGTCTCGTAAAACAAGAAAAAACAATTCACCAACACAACTTTCAACTCCTGTCTCAAGCCCAACTATGAATGATAACGTTAGTATTGATATTATTATTTTTTAAAATCTAAAAATGGATCCTTAATTAAAATTTTTATACAATAATAGACTTATCAAAAAAGACCTAACAGAAGAAATAATAGTAATCCTGTTAGACCAACAAATACCAAACCAAATGACACTGTTCGTTCATTAAAACTATCACCAGCTTTGACTGTCAGAGAAAGCATTTCAATTGTCGAAGCATCACAACTCATGGCTGCCAAACGTGCTGACTGTGTTTTGGTAATTGATGGAGAGGAAGCTTTATCAGGAATATTTACTACTAAAGATCTGGCTTTCAGAGTAGTAGGCGATGGCTTAAATCCAAGAACAACGGCTGTAAAACAAATTATGACAAACGATCCAATGTGTATCAGAGAGGATACATCAACTAATAATGCTCTTAGTACAATGCTTACACGAGGGTTTAGACATCTTGTATGTGAGACATTATTATTACTGCCATTATCATTACTATGTTATAAGATTAACTAATTATATATAAAATCCTTTAGCCTGTGTGTAATGAAGAAGGAGATATAGTAGGAATTTTGGATATTACAAAATGTCTGTATGAAACTTTAGAAAAATTAGAACATGCTTATGAATCTTCTAAAAAACTTTATGACGCTCTTGAAAATGTTGAGAGAGAATGGTCTAACCAGTCAACTTCAGTTTTACAATATATGTCAGTTTTAAGAGAGAAAATGGCATGTCCTGATCTGGCCACTGTGCTGGATGGTTCTCCACCTGTGCAAGTTGGTACTAGAAATTCCGTTAGAGATGCAGCTAGATTAATGAGAGAGTATGGAACAACTGCCGTTTTGGTAATGGATGATCATAATATGATTGCAGGTATTTTTACAAGTAAAGATATTGTTTTGAGAGTAATAGCTGCAGGTTTAGATTCTTCCACATGTGGCATTGCTAGGGTAATGACTCCTCATCCTGATACTGCTCCTCCACGTACTAGTATCCTGGTTGCATTAAAAAAGATGTATGGTGCGTAATAATTATTTAAGATATTTATAAATTGTCAATGTGTTTTAATATTGTTAATATTTAAATGCATTTCAATAAAAATTATTATTATTATTATTATTATTTAGATGGTCATTATTTGAATTTACCAATTGTTGAAAATGGAATTATTTTAGGAATGGTTGATGTATTAAAATTAACATATGTTATAATGGAACAGGTAAATGATTAAAATAATAATAGTAATACATATATGCATTTATTAATTATTTGTTTTTAATTGTTAGATGTATTTAATGCAAGATCAAGAAAATGTTCCTGAACCAGGTGGTCCATTGTGGAATAAATTTTGGAATTCGCTTGCAAATGATGGAGATAACGAATCATTCATTTCAGATTCAATAACACCATCACAAAGTGCCTCCAATGTCCCTCCTCAATCGCCACCTCATATGATTGGAACAGGTTACATTACTCCAATTTCAGAAATTCATCCTGGTGAATCGGCATCAGCAATTGATGATGGTTCCGCAATATCTTTCCCTCGTTGTCATGAAGAAAACTTTTTTACTTTCAAATTCAAAGCTCCAAATGGTAAGTCACATCGGTTTACTGTTGATTACACAAGCTTTGAAAATATTCTTTCAACTGTGACATCCAAGCTTCCATCAACCACCAAGGATTTCAGCATTTCTTATATGGATGAAGACAATGATTACGTTACAATGTCCTCTGATGATGATGTTTTTGATGCTGTTCGTATAGCACAACAACAAGGTCAAAGTAAGGTTGTTTTATACGTTCAAGAAAACAAAGATAAAAAGTCGCAACCAAAATCTCGTCCAAGTAAAATTAATGATGATGACTATGATGATGATGATGATGATGATGATGATGATGACGACGACTGTGATGATGAAACTTTAGTTGAAAAGAAAACGAAAAGAAAATTCAAGGATTCAAATGAACCAGCTTCAACCAATTTTTTAATGCCTAGTGTAGTTCTTTTTGCTACAGTAATAGTTTTAGGTGTATTCATATTGTTAAAACCTTCTAAATAAATTTTATTGTGATAATATTATTATATTTAGAAGTTATAGAGAGATTTAATTTTTTTTATCGTCAATATATATATATTTATAGCATAAAAATTTGGTGGCTGGGAGATCATAACGGTTTCAAAAAAAAAAAAAAAAAAAAAATAGAGAAATAGTGTATTTAAAATATTAATTTAATTTTCTGTAAAAACTTTTTTATTCTTTTTTAATGTAATTATTTTGTTATTATTATCTTTTTTAAAAAATATCACCTTCCATAAATTATTTCATCTGATAAAGCAAGTAAAATCAGCAATGATCTTTTTAGTGTTTTACTTAGATTAAAAATGTAAAAAGATAAATCAATAATAATAATATTCATTATAATTATTGTAAAAAAAAACAAGATTGACTGTTATATGTCATATATCTAAAATCACTTTAACAAATATTTTTTATCCAATATACAAATAATTGATACTTGGCAAAAATTAAACCAAATGCATTACATTGAAATTTATATACTAAAAGACCCTGTAGTAAATGATTGGGCTGGTAGCTACCATTGCCGTAGTAAATAGCTATTGGTAGATACCGTTTGCCATAAATAGCTACTGGAGCCGCAAATAGCTACGATAATTATTGTCATTAGTATTATTAGTCATATTAGCCACGGGAAAATTTTCTTGAATTATTTGTAACTAAATTTTTCAAGTTCATTTACAGTGAAATTATCCTATGGTAGTTACCATTGTCGCAAATAACCAATTACGGCAATCGTCTTTAGACGTAATCAGATACAATCATTAGTAAACTCTGGTGAAACAAAAGGTAAATAAATATATTCTTTTTAGTCATGTTTCTAAAGCCCATCAATTAGAAAAGGATGGTTACTTGCTTGTGTGGATTGGTGGAATTTTATGCATAGCTCAATTGATAGGTGGGGACATTTATTCGTTTTTAACGCAGATGAAACACATTTACATTTATTTTCTATTTTCAACAACAAGGATATTTAAATGATCAATCGAATAAATAAATAATAATGAATGTATAGAAAAAGGGTCACGGGTAGGGTTGTTAATGGAACATAATGGGTTGGGTTGAGTTCATATTATAGTGGAGCAAGGGTTAACCTAACCCAACCCGGAGCAAAATATTTTATTATAACCCAGGTTTATGCCAGAAAATTATGCTCCATTTAACAATCCTCCCTAGTCACGGGGTCCTGCTATCAGATTTTTCAAAAGTCCACCATACACAATAAAGTGATTTTATTAGAGAGAATTGGGGAAATAAATAAAAAATCCACTATAGACAAAATCCATTAATAATGAGCTTTGACTGTAATCTCATATAGGCAGGCATTTCAACTTCTTTATTAATACATCAAAATTATCTTGTTATATTCCTCAACACATGAACACTTGAATTTTATGGCAAAAAAGCTTATCACATCATCCACAACAGAATTACAGGGGATGCTAAAACAATAATTACGTATGGTGATGGAGGATTTTCAAGTAGTTCACAATCATGCAGCATCAGCAGCGAAAAATTTGGCATAGGGTGTTAAAGAAAAGATGTCAAACACGTTTAGTTGATCAGTCATAATCTGTTCATTATGTAAAGGGTGGTTTAAAAGGACATTGATGATTTGAATATGCAAGGCTATAATATATATGTCTAATAATTTTTGTACTTGTATTTGATGCCTGCGCCGTTTAATCAAATATATGACTAGGGAAGATGTTGATTTAGGGTCTAATAATAACCCCACTTAGCTTATCTAGATTATTCATCAACTACGAATGAAAAGATAGGCGTAGCCCTTTATTGTATGTTCTAGTTGCAAGTTGTTATTTATCCAATCAAAGAAATTTTAGTGTTTTTCTAGTGATGATTCTGATTCTAACGATGATTCTAATACCTCAAATAGTGAATCAAGTCATGATTAAAGATAATAATGATGATGATGACGATAATAATAACTTAAAGACCCAAATACCAAGTCCATTATTAGACTACTCATCAACTACTAAAAAATTTCATGATTATAAATAACATTCTTCTAAATTTAAATTTTTTAGATATAGAAAAGAGATTAATTTCATTATTATAATTATCAAATGTGTTATAAATATTATACAAATTATATTTTTATTATTATATCCTCAACATTTAATAAATTGAAACATTTTGTTATTATTTTAAAAAGTATTGTTCCTTTTTTGTTCCTCTAATTTCTTTCGTTCATGTTCTCGTTTTTCCTCTTGTTTAATAAAATCATCTCCAGTTAATCCACTCAAAAACTCTTCATAAAATGTATGTGGATGAGCTGCTGAATCTCCTGATGCTGATAAACGTCTTACAATTGTAGAACGATAGACACTACCAAAGAAACCATAAATAAATAAATTAATATTATAAATATATGTATATAATATATATATATATATATACATATATACAATTTATTACTTTTTGTCTTCTCCCTCTATTTTTTCTTCGGGATGTTTTTTATAATTTTTATCATGTGAACCAGTAGTTTTTTCTTGATTTTCTGTTTGACCATATTTCAAATGACTTGAATTGTCATACTTGTCATTTTTACCAGAAGGTACACCAGCATAGTCAATTGGTGCTGTTGAAGCACTTTCTATCGGATCAATGGAAGGATTTATTCTTGACATTATTATTATTTAATTTTTTTACAAAAACAAATGCGATTTTTGAAATCGATTATTAATTGATCTTCATAAATAATTACGATCACGTCAATATGGCAATTTTCTCCTTTTTTATAAATATTTGATGTTGATCATGAGAATATGCATAAAATCATCATCATATGCAAAAGGAATAATAAAGAATTATGAATAATAATAAATAAATAAACGGACTAGCGTTATTCTCGGAACAAAAAAAAAAATCGTTTTCTCCAAGTTTTATATTTTAAATAAATTATTATCACCAGAAAGATGTAATGAAATGTATAATAGCCAACAGCAAGGGTTCTACTCTCTTCCTTGCTGGACTTTACAGTTGGTCCAAAGTAGGACATGCACCCAAGGGAGCCAAACATAATAGTGTCACGTCATTGACATCAGTGTTGAAAATTCAGCGTGGGGAATGCGGGATGTAACATTACACCAATCAAATTTTGGAAATAGTTTCTAAATTTGTACACGAAATTTCAACACCGAACTAAATGATTTGTAAATTTTAACTTATTGTATTATTATTTATTTATAATTAAAGCAATGAAAGTTGGTAAGAGTTAATTTGGTTAATTTGATTTTCTTTGTATGTTTATATGTTATATAGTTTTTGATAATATTATGTAAATAGCATGTCTTCAGTTTAATCCTATACTTGAACAAGTAGAAAGAAATCAAAATTTTGCCTCCGAATTACTCTCGAGGTATATCAAACAAATTTTTTATTATTGGTTTTTTATTTTTCAATTATTTTCCTAACAAAAATCTTATAATGTAGTTATGGTCCAGGTGAAATTGATATTTTGTTACTTCCAGAAATGGCCTTTACAGGTATTTTTTGTTGGTCAGAAGATTTCTTTGAAAAAAAAAGTATCAATATTATCTTTATTTTTATAAGGATACGTTTTCACCAGTAAGGATCATATAAGACCATATCTAGAAGATGCAGAAACTGGCACCACAGTTCAATGGGCAAGATCCCAAGGTAAGCATATTTTTCATAGAAAGATACATATATATTAATTAATTAACCAATGTGTGTTCAATCGTAATTAGTAACTTTGGTCCAACTACTATTTTCTTGACCCTAATTCAATTAAAGCAACAAGATTACAAGCGTTTGTTATGGTAGGATATCCTCAAATAATTAAAGGTATTTATTTGTTTAAATTACAAATAGATCACATATTCACTTTTACACCTGTATATATTAATGCCTATCCTCAATCTGAACACATTTTTATTTAGGAAAACCAGATAAATATTACAACAGTATTTGTTTAGTTGGTCGATCCGGTGAACTTATCACAACATATCAGAAAACACATTTATACGAGACTGATGAGAATTGGGCTGAGGAAGGCCCAGGATTCAAATCATTACACATACCTACATTAGGAAAGGTTAGCAAATCTTCTTTTATTGATTCAGAAATGGGCTTGTTGTTTTCTATATTCTTTTTTATTAAACTAATTGATTAAATTATTATTGAAGGTGGGCTTAGCAATTTGCATGGATCTGAACCCTTATAGATTCCAGGCTCCATCATCTGAATTTGAATTGGCTCGTTTTCATCTACGAGAAAAAAGTAAAATCATACTATGCTCAATGGCTTGGCTGAAATCAAGTGAATGTGTCAACAGTGAATTGTTATTGGATAGTTATGATGAACCAATCCATGATACTTCAAATATGAGATATTGGTGTTATAGATTACTACCATTATTTAACGATGAGGCTTTACAACAAAATGATGATGCTAATAATACTAGAGAATCTGAAAATGATAAAGTGTTGTTCGTTGTGTGTAATCGTACTGGAACTGAAAATGGTAATAGTAAAATCTTTTCCCCTTACAATCATGTGAAACAATCTCTAATTTTTATTAATTAAATAAATGTGTATGTGTGTGTGTGTGTATGTGCGTACATAGGTTCATCATTCTGTGGGACAAGTAGTGTTATAATATTATCACCAAATACTTCAGCTGAATTATTAGGAGCATTGGAAGTTAACGAAGAAAATGTCCTTGTGGTTGATGTGCCATAATAACAACAATATGATTACTATTCATATTAATTAATTAAATTAATTAATTCTGTTTTGTTGTCATCTATTCATTAATTAAAGATTGTTGACTCATAATTTATTGTTCACTTTAAAATAAAAAATGACAATAGTCACACAAATGTACATGTGATGATGTTACACGTTTAGATTTCATTTAATAATCCATTTCGTGAAAAATACAAGCCTGACAATATAAAATCATAAACATAAAAAAGGAAATAATTAGAAACATGGTACGTAAGGAACTTGGTTTTATCCAGTTTCATTAAAAGCATGCTGTTTATGATATTATTTATTGATCCCAGCTTCCTTCACTTTCCAGAGCACAAAAACCCAACAAAAGGAAAAAATCAGACAATTTATGGCCTTTACGAATGCAAGGTATCAAATTTTGATAATAAAAATTACCATGACAACACAAGTTTACACATGTATACATGTATATTAGTTGGTATATTAACTTTTAGTTCAATATTATAATAAAACAATTAGTGAAAAAGTTTCTCAAAAAAAATTAAAAGAATTCAATTGGAATGTCGAAGTAGCTGTAGACGATTATTTTAATAATCAACCTAGCACCATCACTTGGAGAGGCTTATCAACTTCTCAAAGTTTGAGTTCTGGAATAGATTTAAGAAAACTTGAAGATGTATTTAACAAGTACATAGGTTAGTTTATAGTTAATCAATCAGCTAATGAATTTGATTGGTTGATTTCATAAATTATACTAATGTTAACATGCCATACATATATTACAATCAATTTCTATAGATAGGGATGAAGGCAATGATAGGGATAGAAAAGGAGTAATTTCAGTGGATGGAGTAATAAAATATTGTAATGATTTGGGAGTTGACCCTGAAGATGTTGTTATGTTGGTCATGGCTTGGCATCTTAAAGCAGAAAAAATTGGTGAATTTAAATATGAAGGATTTATTGAGGGTTGGTCGAAACTAAGGTTCTTTTAACACAAGTCCTATTTTTCTAAATTTTATTTTCTTGAAAATGTTGTTAATTATTAAAATCTCTTATTCAGATGTGATACACTTCTAAAGATGCGAGCAGCCATACCTAGTCTTAGACAAACCCTGAATGATGATCTTAAATTTAAAGAAATTTATCAATTTACTTTTAAATTTGGATTAGGAGAAAATCAAAAATCATTGAGTATGACTATTATTGTGTTTTTGTGATTTTTTTTTTTTGAAAAAGATAATTCCTCAACTATTTTCCAAATCCTTATTTACTTTCTTAAATATATTAGGCCTTGATGTAGCAACTGAATTCTGGAAATTATTATTGAGAGATCATTGGCCACTTCTTGATATCTGGATAGAATTTGTTAAGGTTCATATTATAAATCCATCCATCTATTAAACCTTTATTTTATTTAATGTGTGTGCACTTGTAATAATTTATTTATTTGAATTAGGAAAAACATGGTAAAGCAATCTCAAAAGACACTTGGAATTTGGTATGTGTGTTATGTGCTATGCTGGTAATAATTTACTCTTGGAAATTAATTATTTCATTTGTGTATTATTTTTTCTAGCTGCTGGAATTTGTCAGACAAATCAATGAGGATTTAAATAATTATGATACAGAGGGTAATTAATTAACCAAAGACTTTTTTTTACTTAACTCTAAATTTGTAAAGATTTATTGATGTCATTAATGAATATTTTAACATTTCATAAATTAGGAGCTTGGCCGGTTCTCATTGATGAGGTATGATATCAATCAATCAATCAATCAATCAATTGACTGTTTTTAACACCTTTATTTTTCATGTTCTCCTTCTCACATAAACATTAGTTTGTAGAGTATGCCAGAGAGAAATTGAAGATATCGGCTCCTCCAGTTCTTTAAATCAATTTTTTTATTTATAACATAATAGATTATAATAACATCAATAAAAATATTGCTTTAATTGGAAGTGCTCTTGTTATTCAATTATTTATATATAAAATATAATATTTAGATATTCTACAAGTAGAATGTTGATCTTTATCATTTTTGGTATTTTTAAAATTAAACAATATATATTAATGTTAATATTATTAATATTAGAATAATTACACTAGTACATAATAATTAATTAAGTCTCAATCTTTTAAATATTTTCCCAGCAAATGATCATTAAACACACTCGGGTTCCATCATTGCATGACTTCTCCCGGATGGTTACTAGTAATCCAATTTTATATTTCAAATTGTGCAAAATATGGAATACCACCAGTTTACAACATTTCATTGGATAATTTATTTATTGTATAATCCTGAAAAAATAAAATTCAATAGTTGATGATAGGTTGTGAGTTTGTGAATTAACTGTTAAATACAAGATGTATGATGACATATGAAGCTTCCAAAGCAAGTTTGTAAAATATACTGATGAATGTTTATCAATTATTAAGTTTTGCAAATGAATGTTTCATCAATTATTGAATAGCTTGTATTGAAGGAAGTGTCAAAGTCAAGATCTATGAAGCTGTTTGTAAAATATATTTAATGAGCACTTTATCAATTATTCAAAGAATTATATAGGCGGGCTTGATCAAAGTGTTAAAATGAATGTTTTATTATTATAGGCGGGTTTGATTGAAGTAAGTATTAGTCAAGATCTATGAAGCTTGCAAAACAAATGTTTATCAATTACTCAATAATTATATAGATGGGTTTAATTGAAGTGTTAGTCAAGATCTATGAAACTTGCAAAACAAATGTTTATCAATTATTTAATAATTGTATAGGCAGGTTTGTTCAAAGTAAGTGCTAAAGTCAATTTATACATTTTATTTATTATTTATTTATATAAAACAATAATTAATAATCATTATGGAAACTTTAATCAATATAAATAAAGTCAGAAATATAAAACAACCACTAATAAAATACCTTTTAGTTTTTGCTGAATCCTATCATAAAATTCTTCATGATTATTAATTTCTATAAAATAGTTTTTTGTGAACCTCTCTAAAAGTTATTAACCAACACCCCCATAAAGTAATGACCATATGAAAGCTTAAAGTATTCTACACCTTCTCATTTGCTATCAAGTCTTTTAAAGCGATATTGAGAAATAATCCGAGCTTTGAAGTGAAAAGGCAATATCATTTTTGAATAGCCGTAGTTTCGCATAGAAAATGCATTTCAATATAATGTAGTACTCATTAGAAAGCTTTAATGGAGTACTTTCATTTTACTCTAACAACAAAGTTCGAGATATTTTTAAAAAAACCATGTGACACGAATTTCGGATATATGTCACATGACTAATAACCCAAACCCATACCGCCGCAATCTGGGTAAAAATTGCGAGTCCCAGCCTGCTGCAGGCCCGCCTGAAAGAATGAATTGGATCCATTTCAAAAGTTGCAATACACTGTATAGAAAGATTTTAGTTAATGTACACACTTTTTGCTGGAAAATCTGTTGTTGCAGGATATGTTATTGCGCAAGCTTTGAAAAATAAACAAAGAGTCATTTACACCGACTCCAATAAAGGTATACGAACGATAAAACTTCTTTTTTAATTAATTCCAGTAATTTAACTGTTAATTATTACTATTATATTCAAGGCTTTAAGCAATTAAAAATACAGAGAATTAAAAGTTCTTTTAATTGGATTGATAACTGGTGATGTTTCCATTAAACCTTATGCAAATTGTTTATATGACTACAGAGTAATTTTAAAATCCTTAACATAAAGAATTATATATATAAACTAATAAATTGTTATTCAAGAAAATAGATTTTATTGACTATGCTTTCATGGCAATAAAGTGATGCATGGGTAATTTTTGATGAGATAATGTGCACTATATGAAAGATAAAGATATTTGAAATTTACAATATGAATTAATTATTTTTAATTAACATTTCTATTTTAATTTTTTAATTTTAATCTAGTTTGAGATATAGTTTGGGAAGAAATTATTATTATTTTATTTGCCAAATTCATCTTGCATTTTTATCTGAAACAGTCTCCAATGCTATGGAATTCGCAGAGTAGGTATGTAAAACACATGCAGAAATAAGATTCTATATAAATTTTTTTCTGATATTTATTGATCAGTTTAATTTTATAGTTTAGTTTAAAATATACTGTTTCTTCATATTGTATACATCCAACGCCGCCTTTACAACATTATGTTTATGGAAGTGATATTACTTTCATGTTGAATGTACATTAATATTACTATTTTGAAACTTTAAAAAAATAACGTATTAGGTATGATAGATAACCATGCAATAAATAAAATGTAAATTAAAATTTATGGCATGTAAAATGATTCATGAAAATAAAACTTATGACTTGGACAATAGGAAAATTTTTTCTTATATAAAGAGAAGGAAATATCCACCTTTGTCCATAATCAAGAAAAAAATTTTAACAGTTTGCAACTATACTTTTAATAATAAAGTTGCCCACAAAACGGATCAGAAGAAAATTCAAACTTACAGTACATAAATTTTTTATACGATATTTATATAACGTATATCACATGATTATCATAAATGCCAATTCTAATTCCAAATTTCTTTGTTTTTACAGATATTTCGATTTTAGCGGATAAATCTCTTGGGCCAAACTTGTCCACTAAATCGAGATTCACTGTGTACTTCTAATAGCGCTGTAACTCTTTGATTCCATGGTGAATCTAATGTAAATGAGATTCATATTAATTATTTTTACATAGAAGTAATTCTATATACCACTCGAGAAAAAATCCCACTGCTGAAACTAAGAAAATATGGTATTTTAATAGATTGAAAAACACCATAATGAATTCATTACGGGACATTATAAAATTGTTGTATAACGTTCATTATCGCATTACATTGGTGAATTTAATAATGCAAAATGTTGGGTTTTATTGCAGTATGCCCATATTAAACTGAACTACTATGATGTATTAATATTAGTATATGAAAACACTCCTAGTAGTAATAGTTGGTCTACTAAATTTTTTGATGCCCCAAATTTTATTAAAAATATAAAAATCTTCTTCGGGATACATATTAATATAGTAATGTACTTAACTCATTTATTGAAATCAATTTAGCACCATTCAGTAAACCTTCCTTTTTATAGATTTACTTTCACACAATAACAAACTCCAATATTTGGTTTAATCCATCATCAATCAGTTTTACCTTTTATTTTTATTACCATATGAATAAAGTTCAGATGTCAATAAACCAAACTTCCATGTTTTTTTTGTCACACCTATTTTTAAATGAATTTACAAGCATCGTAAAAAAAGATTTTTTTTTTCTTTTAATTATAATTTTTTTAACTAACAAATAATGATGATGATGATGATGTTTGATAATGAAGGAAATTGTATATATGATTCTGTAAAAATTTCAATTTATTCATTTATTGGGTTCATTTTGCTGAATTATTTGACAACAATTTGCGTTTCAAACTTTACAGTTAAGTAATTTCACAAATGATATTATTTGTTAATCAAAAAAAAAAATTTAATTATAATTTTTTTCTTTAACAGGATTTTTATAATAAATTGGATAAAAGAAAACAATCAATTTGGAATAACACATTTGTTAGTTATATTCATGCATGGATTTGTTCTATAATAACTACTGCAAGGTAATGAAATTAATAATAATAATTATATAATTTAAATTATTGTTATTATTAAGAAGTAATTAATCAATCCATTGAATGATTTTCAATAGTTTTATATATTACCCTGAGGCATGGAATGATATGATTAATTCCAATGTAAAACTATGTGCAATTCAAATACCTTTATCAACTGGTAAAAACTTTATTCTTTCAATTAATCCCTGAATATATTTAGATTGTTATCATTAATACTAATTCAAATATTTTATTATTTAGGATATTTTTTTGCAGATATGCTTGATTTTTTAATAAAAAATATATTTATGGATTCACCTGGGATTTGGTTACATCATATTTTAGTGGTAGGAGTGCTTATTTCATCTATCTTGACTTGTAAATATTTCCCATATTTGACAGCAACATTATTAGTAGAAATTGGTAATATTTTTTTACATCAACGTAAACTTTATTTGACAATATATAAAACAAAACTTACTTTTATTTACAAATTGAACTCGTTGTTATTATTATTATCATTTATTTTTGCAAGGATTTTTTTACACATGTATTTACTCTTTAGAGTTTGGAATGAATATGGTTTATTTGATTCCAATATTTGGAAAATTGCATTTTATGGCATGTTTTTGTTGAATGTTTTAAATATGATATTATTTCAACAATTGTGGAATTCAGATTGGAAAAAAAACTTTTTTTCCAATAATGATGATAATAGAGATAAAAATAGAATTAAATTAGAAAAAAACATTATAGACAATGATTAATGATAATTTAGTTTATGTATAAACTTTAAAAAATTTTTTTATAATAATAATACAATAATAATAATCAATAGCTTTTCTTCTATTTAAATTTAATAATTGAAGTGAATCAAGTCTTCTTTAATTGAATCTTCTAGTGCAGGCATAACTACATGACTTTCCATGAATCACAAAAGTCCTTTGCTAAATCAGCAGGATTATCATTAAGACGAATATAATGGTTTGTGAATGACCATTCTCAAGTTCAATATTAATTATTTGCTACGTTTATGTTTATCAATACATCTTGGCGTTTTTTCTAATGTTTGGTCATTTGTCAACTCTATCATCAGTAGGTGGTGGTGAGAATGGTGTTGAAAATGATGGTGGTGAGGAATATTGGTTCCAATATGGAGGATATAGAGTTGAATCGAATTCTTGAGGAATAAAAGATATATTACAATTGCCTTGATATGATTTGACTTTGCTTGAAGCTGTCTTATTATTTTAGCAGATTTTGATTTTGCACTTGAGCTATTGCCATTTATTATTATTTTCATCAAGATTATTCTTATTTTTATTCTTGTTGTTATTATTTTTTGTTTTAGATTTTGAAGTATTTGTATCATTTTGTTTTGGCTTACTTTTCCAATTAGAAGAATCAGTGATATTTTTGATTGATAAGAATGATTCTGATTATTTTGAGATGAATTATCTCTCTTAAGATGATTTTTTATTAGGATTTTTTTTCATTGTATTTCTAACAAAGTTTTCTCATCAGCTGGAATAAAACTTTTTCCTTGGTGATGTAATTAAACTGTGCCTAAACCACCTTTTCTTATTTTTATGCCAGGATTAGCAAGAGAATGCCATGATTGCAGCAGTTTTTACATTCACAGTCTTTAAACAAAATTCTTTTCCAGGTTTTTCATCCGTTGAGGACAGAGAATTGCTGAAATCGGTTGATATAATAATTGTTGCTGTAGTTGATAGCTGATAATGATGGTGATAGATGTTGTATTATAATTGTTGTTGTTGCTGTATTTGCTGGGTGTTAGATCAAATTTAGTCGTCATTCTTGTAGTTGATATTGATGTGTGCAGCCATTTGTTGTTGAATTTATAGTATGTATACTATTAATGGTCGAAGTTGAGGTTGTTGCAGGTTTTGTCTAAGCAGTTTGTTGCAATTGGCTGTACTGTATTGTAATTGTGATATAGATTGTAATTGTGATGGTGATAATTAAGGTGGTCAGTGTATATGACATAAGTATTTATTATTATAATTATTATTGTTATGCCATGCATTTTTAATAATTACTATCATGATCGTCCGTACCATTCTAATACCATCGGTGTTATATATACTTCTTTCAGAACTCCGATCTAACAAACCTAAGGATCGCACTTGGAGCAGCAATGTTTTTCAAGCTAGTATTTACATCATTTATAGCACCAAATTGTTTAACGCCACACCCACCACTATCTTGATGCAACCTGCTTGAATCTAATACTTGTGTTGAACTATTATTGTTGTTCACGTCATTCCGTCCATTCCTTGTTAAATTCTACATAATGTTCTTTATGAATAATACAAAATTTTGCGTAAGGTGAGTTTCTTCTACCTTTAAATATATACAATAATAACATAATAATAATAATAATACTTGATAAACATGAGAACCGCCTTCATTTTTTGAGACACAAATACTATGAAGATTAATATGGACTATACAAGAAACATTTGAGTTAATATCAATATTTTCCTGTGATGGAATGATAGCGTTAAACCTAGAAATTGTACAAGATGGATTTTTAACAATTAAACCCTCCATGATATAAATCCGCATTTAATTTTGTAACATTACAGTGCAGATCATCTATACTCAAAAGTTAAAATTTTTGAAATATTATGTGATCCACACATTGGATTTTAAAAAACTCGCCACCATTCAATTCAGCTTTAAAAGGGGAGTCTATTATCTAAAAAAAAAATTTGTCTCGAATTTTCTTTTCATAGATTTTTTAAATTTGAAAGTTATGCTCAGAAGTGCAACAATAATTTTTGTGTTATATACAATATTTTGAATCTCACGACCAAATCTGGTAATGATTTTCTTTTAATGTAATATGTTCGCTAAACTTTCTTGTTGTAAAGAACTTTAAAAAAAAGGAAATAAATAAGTCAAATAAATCAAATGTAATTTGTAGAAAATATTCTATGAAAAAAAGTTGTTACACGAAATTTACCTAGTCTCAATTTCTTAAGTGTATAACAAAATTCGGAATTTTCAAAATGCTAAGGCTCAGCAAATTTTCAGTTTAAGAAAAACCAGCCGATAAGTTTTGAAGCTTGAGTCATGAACAATAAAACTTATCGGTTAAGCTTTTTAAAATGATATAATTTTTTTTTGTTTTAGTATTTTGAAGTTGATCAATTGTTACTATAAGCATTAATGATTATAGATGATCTGCCCGTACCTACATTCACAAATAATTTTTTTAATTGAGTCTGCTTAAATAAATTACTATGGTTTTGTGATGTTGTCGCTGCTTAGAATATGCATTAAAAAGAAATACGATTAAAAAAAAAGTCAGTTTAAAAAAAAAATGATAGGTATATTTGAATTTTGGGTATTTTTCAAATTTTTTGGGTATAATTTTCTAAAAAAAGTGGGCAGAGAAAAGGTGATCTTCAAATATACCATCTACTAAGATTGTTCGGGGTCCCGTTTAGGCATTTTAACAAAAAAAAAAAAGGAATACATTTGAATTAAAAAATTGTTAAAAATCGCATTCCATAAAAGGAATGATTTTCATAGAAAAATTTCACTGGTTGGCGCAGCATTTGATGATTGGCACCATAAAACTATTACATCAAATTCGCTTCCATTAAGTCAAAAATGACATAAGTAAAAACACTTGATGTGAGTAAAATTGCTTTAAAGGCTAATAAAATATAAAAACATAAATTTATATATTCAATTTTTTATTTTTATATTTTTCTTGTGTATCTATTTAAGCTCTTGTTTTTCTCTAAAAAAAAAAAAGAATTTGAATTAGCATACACAACAACAACAACAACAATAACAACATTATTATAAACCACTTACTTCGACAATTGATGTAGCATCTCTAAATCTTGCAATAAACAAAACATTAGCATTATTAAATAATTCTTCTTTTAATGATATCACAATAAATTGTGATCCTTTAAATCTAGTTCGTAACAGCTGTCCAATGTTTTGTGTATGTGATAAATCAAGAGCTGCATCCACTTCATCAAGAATGTACATTGGTGCTGGTTTAAATTGTAATAAAGCCAAAATCAATGATAATGCAATAAGTGATCTAAAATAATGATTTATATTTATTAATTAATATATGCATATATATTTTAATTGATTCATTATAAAAAATTAACATTACCTTTGTCCACCACTTAATTCATTTAAACCCTCTTTCCATACTGAGCCAAGTTGTACTTTAACTTCTAAACCATCTTTTAATTCTTTATTTGCTAGTGGTTGAAGTTTTGCAAAATTGTTTGGCAACAATTCACTGAAAATTGTCCCAAAATCACTAAAATTTATATAATGATATATTATTAAACAAAATACATACACTATAAATATATGTAAAATTGTAACTTATGCATTAACTTTTTCCCAGGTTTTTGATACTGCATCATTTTTATATTTATCAAGTTCAACAATAGTATTCTCAATTTTTTTCTTATCTTTTTGTACAGTTGTCAACATTTTTTTTAAAGTAGCTTCATCTTGTTCCACCCTTATAAATAATAAAATTTGGACCTTTTATAAATCTAATATCTTATATTTTTTAACTGAAAAAAAAAATAACATACCCTTCATTACTTTAGCATTGATTTTTTTTCATATACTATTGTGTTTTTCTTGTAATTTTTTTACACTCATTTGGACTATTATTCTCAAAATCATACAGAGAATTTACTTCACCAAAATGACTAGAAAAATTTTTAAATCCGTTAATGAAAAACCACTTTTTCACTATAATAACAACAACAACAATAATAAACCCACTGCTTTTGATGCATAATCCAATCATTTTCTCTTTCCATTTGCTGAACAATTTGTTGAGACATTCCCTTTTCTTGAAGTACTTTGTCAACTTCATGATTAAGGTTTGTAATTTCCAATTGTATGTTGTTTAATTGATTAGTTTTGGCCTTAAATGCATTTTGAAGTTCTCCAAGTTCTTCATCTAAAGCAGATAACTTTTCTCTTTCCTTCTCTAACTCAATTAAAGCATTATCATACATTTCCTAAAAAATATAGGCATGTATTCTGAATTTAATTAAACATAATTATAAACATAATACACTTTTAAAATTTTCAGAATAGTATCAATGATAAACCTTATTTGTTGTCATTTCTGTTCTCATTGAATCAGCTTCATTCTCTAATTGCTTAATGTTATTATCATAATTTTTCTATTTTTTTGTTTGCATTTTGTAAATCCTCTTCAAGTTGCTCTAAACAATTATATAATGACAAATCCCATTTAATCATTCTATTTTTTAATACATTCCTTTATTGTAATAAAATTTTTATAACTTACTAATTTCTATTTTTAAAGTTTGCACTTTTTGTTGCATATCTTTAACATATGCATTCAATTCTGGTAATTCAGTTTTCCCTTTGGATACCATCCTCTTTTTGTTTTTTTTTTAAAAAAAATTAAAACAAAGTAAATAAATAATAACAAAAACCAATTGATTTAAAATCTACCATAATATCTTCTATTTTTGAATCATGGTTATCATTAAGCTCTCTCATTTCATCTTCAATTCTTTGGCAATCTTGTAATGCACTATGATGTTTATTTTGCGAAGTTACAATTATAGCCTCTTGCTCATGAATTTGAGATTTTATGTTATCAACAATTTGAATAATCTAACAATAATAATCTTTTTTAAAAATTTAAACAATTATTCATTCAGATAATTAATAATTATATATACCTGTGAGTTACTCCTTTGTTTTATCTGTTATTCCAATAATGTAATTGCATGTGATTTCAATTCTAATTCTTTCTTTATTTGATTATATTTATTCATAATAGTTTGTGAGTTTCTTAATTCTGAATTTAAACTTTGTAAAACTTGCTTATGAGACTTCAATTCTTTTTTTATATCTTTAAGAGTTTGCATTTTTGTGAGAATCCCAGCTGAGGGGGGGGGGGGGGGTTAGATCTGCCTTGAAGAGTACTGGATGAATCGTAAACATCTCCATCCAAAGTAACAGATTTAGTATGGACATTCCTGTTAAACGTGACTCATTTTGCTGTTTCAGCATCCATGCAAATCAATGTATTGCCAAAAACATATTCCATCGCTGCTTTTACTTCATTAGCATAACATATCAAGTTTAATGCCAAATCTACTTTGTCTGGAGAAATTTGTTTAGAAACTGCAAGTTTCTATTACAAAAATAAAAATAATTAATAAATAATTACATAAATTACATTATCCTTTCCTCTTTTACCTCAGATGACATTTTAGATACTTGGATTTGGTTTAGTGGAATGATAGTCACACATCTTTTAAGTTGACCTCTTTCTAAAAGTTATGTACCAACATTTTCATTATCTACAACAACCTGAAATTTAATAAATAAACAAATGTTATTTTTTTTTACATTAAAACAAAGCAATACCACTATCTATATGACAATAAATAAATAAATATTGTTGTACATTATATAATCTTCCACCAGCACAAATTTCTAAAGTGGTTGAACATTCAGCATATTTTGAATCTAAAGTAATCAATTCAACAACTAATCCTTTAACTTTATTTCTATTAAAATTTGATGTAGGGTCTTTATAAGTAAACTGAGTATTTCCTAATTGACTGGAAATATATTCATATTTCTAACAAAAATAAATAATTAAAAAAAATTACATATGTGCAAAAATAATTTTACTAAAAAATATTAAAAATAGGAAACACAAACATCTGTTAGTTCTTGTATCTTGGATTCTTCAAAGGACTTTTCATGCAATAAATCTTCTTCTCTACTTGCATTCCAATCAATTAGTGATAAAGCTATTTGTAACTGTTGTGCTTCCAATCTTGAAGACTCTAAATCAGATAAAATACCTGTACTATCTCTTGCAGCTTTGGTAGCTAATGGTTCTTTTTCTTTTAACTCTTTTTTAAGATGAGGAATTTTTAATTTGGCTTGTTCAATTTCAGTTAGTGCCTGAGTTGAATTACTTTTAACCTCTAGTAACAATAATAAAATATATCTTGAGCAATTTTTTTTATCCTCATATAAGTCATATATAAATAAATATGTACCTTGAAGTTGTTCCATATACCCATTTTCCTGACCTTCTTGAGCAGAAACACCAGTTGACAAAGTTTGTAAAAGTTCTTCAGATTTACAAACTTGTTTGTTTTTTTGATCATGGATTTTTTTTGCCTCTTCATAATGAGTTTCATGCATTTTGTACTCTTGAGTTTTTTATATCAAACCTTGTTCTATCTATATAGAAAAGATTATTTATTTAATTGATTATACCCTAGTGAACTTTACTGAAAGAATTAGCAGTAGTTTTTTTTGAGAATCAAAAAAATTTTGGTTATTTGTTTATTAATTTACAAATACCTCTAATCTATCATCCAAGCATATCTCTTTATTGTTTGATTCTTCTTGAATGGAAGTTTTATTAAGTTCATATTTTGTATTAATTCTGACCATTTGATTAGAATATTCAGTTACATTATTTTCCAATTCTTGTAATCTACCACTGTTAGCTCTTTCCTATAAAACTCTATTGATTAATAATAATAATAATCATAATAATAATATAAAAGTATTGGAGTGAAAAAGAAGAATATATATATAGTTAATAAAAATTATACCTTTTCTCTTTTTAAAGATGTTTGTCTGATATCATTTTCTAAAAACTTGAGTTCCTCCTTAAGTTCTTCAATAATTTCCTTCTAAATCATTTATTCTGTTTTTGTTGTTCTCAATAATAGTATCAGATCTATCAAGCTTTTCCTTAATTATATGAAAAATTTAGTTAAATAATTAAATAAATATATACATGTATAAAATTTCATATTAATATTGCAGGAAAAGAGCCATAATAATACTTGATTTTGTGTATACTCATATGCAATAATTAATCAACTTAGATGTTCAATGTCAACTTCTATTTTTTTGGAATTCAAGATAAGAATTCTTTTTAGCTCTTAGTTTTTCCAATTTTGGTTCAATCACCTCCCTAAGTATCTAAATGCACGTTAAAGAAGAATTATTCATATAAATTGTGAATATTTTATTATTGACTAAAAATATTTATGTACCTGAGTAATTTCTTGAACTTTTTTCTCTTTTTTTTTTCAATAGTACTCAATGCTCTTTTCTTTCTCTCTTCAAACATTCTAGTGCCAGCAGCTTCTTCAATCATGCTCAAGATTTCAAGTGGTTTCATGTTTAAAACCTTTGTGATTTTACCTTGCATAATTAAAAAATGTGGATTATTTATGTTAAGTTGAACTGATTCAAATAAATTTGCAACTTGTTTTTGCTGGGCTCAATGACCATTTACAATGTATTTGCTTTGACAATTCATAATCTATTTTATTAGAAGTTTTATTAATATATTTATATAAAGGTTATATTAACTGATAGATTTATAAACTTATTATGCACTTACTTGTCTTGTCACACTTATTTGACTATATTGTTCAAACCCAATAGGGCTATTTTCTCCATCTTCATTATTAAACACAATAGTAACTGAAGCTTTAGTAACACCTGCCTGTCCACATTTATATATCAAGTCTTGTAAACTATTTGCTCTAACCTAAAGAGCAAGACAAAATAAGGTATAACTAATTGTCTAATTAAGTAACAATATTTTAAATTTACCTTTGACAAGTTTGTGAGCCCCAAGACAAAACAAATGGCGTCCAATATATTTGATTGTCCTGAACTGTTAAGACCTGTAATGGCATTAAATTCAGGATCCCAGCCAGTAATATGGGTTATGAGTTGCATATAATTTGAAACCATCAATAATTAGTTCCTCTATTTTCATTTTTTAATTTCATAATTTATTTTATTACTATTAACGCGACAACACATTTTTATTTATCTTTAAATCTAAATTAATTAAATGATCAACAGGATGACATAAAAAATTAAGTGTCTTCTGCAAAGTATTGTTCTTCAGCAAAATAAGATGTAAGAACTGTACGTTCAGCAAACTTTCTTCCTGCAAGTGCTCGAAGTGCTATACCAGCTGCCTCTGCAGAATCGAATCTTACAAAAATCTTTAATAAATAAATAAATGTAATTAGAATTTATTTGGTCAATTGATTAAATTATATAAAAATAAATGATATACCTTGCCAACACCAGTAGTTGATTGACCTGGTCTAGGAATTTTCATATCAATGATGCAACCAAATTTAGAACATTCTTCTCTAACATCCTCAACTATATCTATTTTATTATAATAATATTTTGTTTGATTATTATGAAGAAATGAAAAGCAGCATTTAATAAAATATAATAGTAACATAAAAACAACCTTCATATTCTTCATCATCTACTAATTCCTCAGAAGTATCCATATTAAGAAGTTGAAGAACAGTAGTTGGTTGCATTTCTCCACTTCCAGCTGGAATAAGAACTGAATATGACAGAACTACTGCCATGCCCAAGTTCTTAGCTGATCCAATACTAGCTCTTTGGACTACTAATTTACGATCACTAAGCTCCGTATTGTTTAAACCTTGACAAGCTAAATCTGTCACACTTGGATCAAGATATTCACAAAATGCACAACCCTAAACAAAACCCCCAAAAATATAATTAAAATTAAGCAAATCAATACACATATATCATATTTATTTTATTATTTTAACCTTGGAAATGCCTGATAAAATATCTTTAACTAAATTAAAAGCTCTCAATTCTCCAAAAGATTTTAAAAGTTCCATAACTTGTTCATCATTTAAATAGGTTGGTAGACCGCCAATAAAAATTTTATTTGGGCTATCAGGTACATTTGTAGATACAACTCCTGGCACATGTATTGGTGGCGGCTCAAGATTTTGTCCAGGTGGAGGTTGATAATCTTTTGGTCGATGAATCTTTAATGATTGGCCTTGAAATGTAATTCCATCAAATGCCATTGCAGCTGTAGCTTCTTCAGGTGCATGAAACTATTAAAAAAATTTTATACAATAATGATTATTATTATTTAATGAATAAAATAACCACAGAAAAAAAATATAGACGAGTATAATGGTTATTATTAATATTTATTTAAAATGGAAATAATTATTACTTCAACAAATGCATAGTTTTTATCATGATTGATTTGAACAGCTGTAACCGGATTGCTGGGTGCAGTAGTAATATTCAATTGAAGCATTGTAGAGTTAAAAATTCTGATAAGCCATTCTATTGTATCAATGATTAAATAATATTAATAAATAATTCCAGAAATTTAAAGAATAATAATATTATTATTATCATTATTAAAAACTATTACCTCATCAATACCATATGGAATATTACCAACATAAAGTTGCCTAGCTTGTCTTGCTAATGATGCAGTTTGTGCAACTGGACCTGTTGCTCCTTGACTAACTTTAAATTGTGGTGGAAGTTCATGTTCCATACCTAATATCATTGCTGCCCTTGATGGGTCCATTCCAGGTATTACTGGCAAATTTGAAGCCGCTGATGGTCTTGTGGTGGAAGTTTGTCCAGGAAGTAGAAAATACCCTGATTTATTTATATTTAAGAATTAAGAAAAGCTTTTTTTTTAAAAAAATAATAACATTAATAAAAATTCCAACCTGTAGCTTTAACTTGATGTGCTGTCATTCCTTCGTATCCTGGTGGTGGCACATCCCAATTGTTTAACTTCCTTCTTCTTCTATTGATAGGAGTTACTGATCGAGATTGAGATCGATGTCTTGGACTATAACTATGACTTCTCCTTGAATGATGTCACCTATGATCTCTATGATCTCTATCATCCCTATCTCTTCAACTTCTTTCTTGGCTACGTTCTCTCTCCCTTTCTCTGTGCCTACGAGTCCTATCATGATCACAATCTCTATCCCTATCCCTGTTTCTGTCTCTATCCCTATCCCTATCCCTATCCCTATCCCTATCCCTATTGCTTTCTTTCTCTCGATATCTGTCTCTGTCTCTATCAAAGTCTCTTTCTCTATCATGATCTCTATCTATTTCTTTGTCTTTATTTCTGTCCTTTTCTCTATCTCTTTTCCTTTCACGATTGTCCCAATCATCATTTTCTTTAGATAGATGTTGTTCACTTCTTTCATGAGTATGATCACGATGATGAGAAATTTGGTCTTCATTTGTATGAAAAATTGTTAAACAACAGTGGCATGACATTGATTATGAAAATAACATTTGTATATATAAAAAGAAAAATTAAATTAAATTATTTGAATTTATTAGTATGACCTAAAAAAAGATTGAGGAGGTCCTAATTGATGTATTATCCCGACAAGCTTTCATGCAAACATATTCAATAGGTTCGATGCTAAGCTGCGCTGGTTAAATAAAAACAGAAAAATGAAAATAAAAAATATATTTTGTGTTTTATATATACAAGAAAATTGAATTGAATTTTCTTTTTGTTGAAAATATTAAGGAAAATAGAATCTTGGTTATCAACTATATGTGATTAATGACCAACATAAGAATCAAAAAAAAAATATATACATTTTTCCCAGATGAAATAAATTTTTTTAGAAAGAATTTTTCATTAAACTAATCAATTAATATAATTACTTGGCAAGGCATCTTTATAAATTACAATGTAAACCTCACCTCTCTCAAATAAAACAAAAGAAAAGATTGTTTGCCTGTGAAATTATGAAGTATATAAAAATATTTATTTCAAAAAAAGAAAAGCCTCATACCCATTTGATCAGCATTTTCTTCAGTTTTTATATAAAAATCTGTAGAGAGTGAGAGTAGATAAAAAATCATTGACTAGATCTGATGCACGGTTTATTGGTTCAATTGCTTCAACTATAAAAGAGTATTAAAAAAGTAGATTTGTTAACAGTAACATATGGGACATGCTGCAACAAAACCAGACAAAGTGAACATTAGTGTTACAAGGATTTCAGGGATCAAAATTTGTAATGTGATTATAATTAACAGTTTTATAATGTCCCATTTGTTATCTTAAATGATATATAGAATTACCTCTATATAAAAATAGTTAATGTGAAACTCATTTACATCAGATCTACAATGGAACCCAAGAATTACAGCACCATCAGAAGTATTCTGAAGAAAGAACAAGGTGAAAAAATTGCTCCTTATATTTTCAAAATAAATGATACTCAAACGCTAGAAGCTTATCTAAGAAAAGAAAGGATTATCTATGAAATTTACCAAGAAAAAAGAAACATAATAAGTGTTAGAAAAAGAAAGCATCATGATGATGCATTATTACCTAACAAAAAGCAAAAATCTTTAAAAAGAAAATAACTATCATTTTCTTTGATAGTTGGAATAAATTTCAATTTATACAGAGGGAAATTTCCTCAATTACTTTTTTATTTTCAATCAAGATCATCTTTTAGTCTCTTTAACTTCAATTTGAGCAGTTAATTGACCATTCTGTTGATCTTTTAATTTCCTGTTTTCTTCTTCTAGATGATTAATTTT